GGCCTGATGATATACACAACATAGATGGTCAGCCCCCAATCACCTGTCTAAACCCTCTGGACAGTGACCATGACAACACTATGAGTTGGCTGCCTGTACTGTGTACAAAGCACCCCTGCTGCAGCCTTTTGATGCTAGCTGCTGGTGCGCCCTATAATGTAAGTCTGTGCTTCGAGAGTGCATGGCTTGTCCATTGGAGAAGACAGGATTGTCGAGAAAGGTTGGCAAATACCAGTTGCCCATATCAGTGGAAGAGGGTTATACGTGGCCAGTGCCTGTGGAGTGAGGCCCGAGTTGTGCTTTAGTTGTAGGCAACATGGTGGTCATTCATGCAGCAAGCTGTATCCATCAGGTGCTCGCTCTGGTTAAGTTTATCATGTCTAGCTTATTTGGTGAGTTTGTTAAAGTGGATGTTAACGGGGTAAGTTGTGCCATTAACAAAATGTTTAACAAGCAATAATTTCATTTACTTGTTGAGAATTCATCTTTTTACTGTCTTTAAAGATTCTACCTTCAATCAGGAATTTGCAGAGAGAAGATGAGTAGAAGACAGCTAGCTGTTACTAGAGACTTTGAGGTACTGCCACATAACAGAGTGACACATCGAGATTTGTAGATTTGGTAGTTTTCTCCTGCACACAAGCCATGGTCATCTGGTCAGGAACCAATTAGAACATTGTTGTTAAGCAATTTTCCTTTAATACAGATCCTATTAGCTCCATGGTGATTGCTTTTGCTCTCACCGTCCCAGGAAATCCAACATTGTATACAACTGACAATGTGCTCCATGTCTAGATCTTGTTGCATTTGAACATGGGCTGCTTCAGTATCTGAGTAGTCTCGCTTGGTGTTGAACATGGTGCAATCATCTGCAGATATTCCCACTTCTGACCTTATGATGGTGGAATATCATTGATGAAGCAGCTGAAGGTATTTGGCCTAGGACACTACCCTGAGGAACTCTTACAGAGATGGCCTGGAGCTGAGATGATGAATCTCCAACAACTACAACAATCTTCATATGTGCCAGGTATGTCTCCAACCAGCAGATAGTTTGCGCCCAGTATTCATTGATCCAGTTTTTCTAGTGCTCATTGATGCTGCACTCAGTCAAATGCCCTTGATGTCAAGAGCTCTCACCTCGCCTCTGGAATTCAGCTCTTTTGTCCATGTTTGAAGCAAGGCTTTAATGAGGTCAGGAGCTGAGTGGCCCTGGCGGAACCCAAACTGGGTGTCACTGAGCAGGTTATTCCTGAGCAGATGCTGCTTGATAGCACCTTCCATCACTTTACTGATGATTGACAGTAGACTGATGGGGCAGCAAGTGGCCAGGTTGGAGTTGTTTTGCTTTGTGTGTACAAGGCATCCCTGGGCAAACTTTGACATTGTCGGATAGATGCCAGTGTTGTGACTGCATTGGAACAGCTTCACTAGGGGAGTAGCAATTTCTGCAGCATAACTCTTCAATACTATTGCCAGAATTTTGTCAGGGTACTTGGGGTTCATGTCCACAGTTCCCTGAAAGCTGCCACCCAGGTGGATAGAGTTGTTAAGAAGGCATATGGTGTGTTAGCTTTCATTAATAGAGGGATTGAGTTCAAGAGCCATGAAGTTATGCTCCAGCTATACAAAAGCCCGGTTCGGCCACATCTGGAGTATTGTGTCCAGTTCTAGTCGCTTCATTACTGGAAAGATGTGGAAGCGTTGGAAAAGGTGCAAAGGAGATTTACCAGGATGTTGCCTGGAATGGAGGGACGGTCTTACGAGGAAAGGTTGAGAGGGCTAGGGCTTTTCTCTTTAGAACGAAGAAGGATGAGAGGTGACTTGATAGAGGTGTACAAAATGATCAGAGGTATAGATAGAGTAGACAGCCAGAGACTTTTTCCTCGGATGGAGGTAACTATTACGAGGGGACATAGTTTTAAAGTGAGTGGAGGTAGATATAGGGGAGACGTCAGAGGTAGGTTCTTTACTCAGAGAGTGGTAGGGGCGTGGAATGCATTGCCGGAGAGGGTAGTGGAGTCGGCCTCATTAGGGGCATTTAAGCGGCTATTAGACAGGCACATGGATGATAGTATAAGGTAGGGGTGGAGGTTAGATAGACCTTAGGATTAGGGTAAAAGTTCGGCACAACATCGTGGGCTGAAGGGCCTGTACTTTGCTGTACTGTTCTATGTTCTATAAACTTTCCACTATCCAATTCTCCAAACATTTCTTGATATTGCATGGAGTGAATCAAGTTGGCTGAAGATTGTTATCTGTCATACTGGAGACTGCTAGAAGAGGCCAAGATGGATCATCCACTTGGCACTTCTGGCTGACGTTTGCTGCAAATACTGGGCTATTCCATTATTAAGGTCGGGGATATTTGCGGAGTTTCCTCCTCCTGCAGTGAATTATTTAATTTTCCACCACCATTCATGACTTAATGTGGCAGGACTGCAGATCTTAGATCTGATCGATTGGTTGTGGCATCACTTAGCTCCATCTATCACTTGCTGCTTATGCGGTTTGGCATGCAAGTAGTCCTGTTTGCTCGCTTCACCATGTTGACACCTCATTTTTAACTAAATATAAAATGTGTTATCTTCCTCAATTTCACACCCAATCATTTCTAACAAAGTTCTGATGGTACTTCCTCAAAGATTTTACTGAAGACCATATGCACTAAATCCACTACCATTTCCACCATCTGCCATATCTGTTACTTCCTTCAATATTGCACTGTTTATCATGCATACTCATCCATGTAATTCTGGGCTGGCTATTTGCTCCTTGTCTTTATGCATATTACCTTCATACTTAATGCAATTCAAAACTTGATCTTACCACAGATGTTAGTTAACTGCCTTGATATTATTTTAAATAGTACTGCATCACTTCTAAGATTGATCTCTATATTGGCCACCGTCCAGTCCTCTGGCATATAAAACCTCAGCAATTTTCTCTCCCATCTATTTTAGGAGTATAGGATCAGATCTGGTGCTTTGTCATCCTTTAAATATTTTATCTAAAATTTCATTTTACCCATTCAATATTGCTCACTTGTTTCTTAACCACTTCAGTATTCATCTCTACTGCATATCCTTCTCTTCAGTCAAGATTATTAATACCTTATTATTCTTTGATCTGTATCTACAAGGTGACAATTCTGTTTGCTCAGGAAATATCTCACTTATAACAATGCTCTAATGAGTCTGCTTGTATAATACTTCCATGGTTTTCTGGGTTTTTTTTATTATTTACTCCATACTCACACTTAATTTACCCTGTCCTGTTCTTAACCTCTTTCCTCATTCTCTCTGTTAGACTCTTCCCATTGTTCTTTTGTTAGACCTTATCGGTTGTTTCATTCAATTTCAATTGGTTTCCAGCCTCTTTATTGGCATCCTTGAACTATTCAGTTTCCTTCTTCTTAATGAAACATACTTATTCTGTACCTTTGCAATTTTTTTAAAAAGTATATCCCTTAGTTGTTCGTCAATACTGTGTACAAATTTCTCTTTGCAACCATCTACAGCTGGCTGACTCATCTTTTTAAAATATGCCCTAGTTCAGTCTGGTTGAGTTTGTCTATTGTCTTTTCCCATTTCTGGTTGGATCTTAGGCTTCGTCTAAGTGTAAGCACTATTCCCAAGATCTTTGCCAACATCCATTCTCCCATTCATCTAGCTGACCTATTTCATTATTCATAATTGAGTCCACTGATGTCTCCTCTGTGTAGACAGAGAAACATAATTGCTTGAGTAAAGAATTGTGAACATTTATTCGAATTGTATCCTTTTTAAACCCTTTCTGTACCATGCAATCATAGATAACTAAACTCTCAGAGGACATCAATTTTGATGTTTCTATTCTTCTCCCTAACCTGACTGCAGACTTCTCCATTTTCCTTCCGTAGATCTGAAATCTGTAACACAAACCCTCGGATTTGCATTTATGTAGCCCTTCCACAATCTCTGTATGTTCCAAATTCGTTATGGTAAATGGTGTACTTTCAAAGTCCAGTCACTGTTGCAGATTGTTCCAGATATTACTGATGCTTCGTAGTAAAGCTTACAAAAAAAGAATAAAGTGATATTTTAAATTTTCAATATTTTCAAATCTCCTCATGGCTTCACCTCCCAGGCTTGGGCTGACAAGTGGCAAGTAACATTCCTGCCACACAAATACCCAGTTTGAGTTCCGCTAGGGCTGCTTAGGTGTTGCTCCCCTTACACTCTTGGTTCAAACATGAACAAAAGAGCTGGACTTCAGAGGTGAGGTAAGAGTATCTGCCCTTGACAGTCAACAAGCTTGATACCATCCAGGAAACAAGGCAATCTACTTGATTGGCATCCCATCTATCACCTTCAACACTCACTCGTTTCATCACCAGGGCACAGTGGCAGTGATGTGTACTGTCTGCAAGATGTACTGCACTAACTTACCAAGGTTCCTTGGCGCGTACCTTCCAAACCACAACCTCTGTAACCTAGGGCAAAGTTAGAAGTCACACCACAGCAGGTTATAGTCCAACAGTTTATGTGAAATCACAAGCTTTCGGAGCGCTGTCCATTCGTCAAGTGATTGTGATTTCAAATAAACCTGTTGGACGAAAAACCTGGGATGTGACTTCTGACCTTGTCCACCCCAGTCCAACACGACCACCTCCACATCTTGTCCAAGGGCAAGGGCAACTTTGTAACTTTTCTGTCTACTGGCTGGATATTGTACCCATATCTCTTCTGATCTTTCTCTGATACTTTGACAGTGAGATCCGGACGAGAACATGGAAATGTAGGAGCAACTTCCTGCATTCGTGGTAAAGGCCGTACCACAACGAAGTGTTGTTTTATAAAGAAATATATAAACATTCGCTCAGAGTGCGAATGATCACCGCAAACATTTCAGCATTCAATTTCTATTAAGGTTTACTTTAATATGCATTATCAAACTAGCACGCGAACACACAAAAAAAACCCAATGTAACTTTAATAACTGGCTCCAAGCAGAACCTCGCGAGAGTGTGCGCGGCTCGGATCACGGAAGAGTGACTGGAACGGGCTGGTGTCTGACAACTGGATCGAAACTTCACCAGGCACCCTGGTACCTGACAGCCGGACTGCACCTCGATTCGTGCATCTATTGTCCCGACTCGGTATGGATTTCAGACAATCAGAGTTTTACTGCTTTTGGACCTTTTAGAGCACTAACACTACTCAGTCCAATTAAAAGTGAAACACTGCAGCATTCTGCTGGCAATTGAGAATGTCAGACAGAGTTGTCATTAGGTGCCAGATCTATTCTGAGAGCTGGCGAGATTGTGGGATATTATCACGTGTGTTTTAATCTGCAGCTTGCAAAGGTTTCCAAATCTGCTGATTTAGCAATACTTTACAGCCGCACGGCGTCCTGCTGTGACTTTAAGCGACTCCTTTGAAAATGCCACCCCCTTGTAATGTACAGAGTTCAGGACAATCCGTCTCATTAGTGGACAGGAGCTGGCAGTCAGGCTACAGCTAATCGTTTGCTTGTTCTTAGTTTGCAGGCAGATCCTCACGAAGATGTCAGAGTTGAGTGGGAAAGTTCAGTCCGTGCTGGGACCGATCGATCCCAGACAGTTGGGTCGAACCCTAACCCATGAGCATTTGACCATGTCTTTTGGTTTCTGTTACACGCCGCCACCCCCGGGTCAAGAAGCATGTTCTGAAATGCCGATTACCATGAATAACCTCTACTGGCTCAAACAGAACCCATACAGTCACAAAGCCAATCTGCTGTTGAACGAGGAAATGGAGGCGGTGAAAGACGAACTCCTGCACTTTAAGAAGGTGGGCGGTGGGACTATCGTGGAAAACACGACCACTGGCATATGCAGAGATGTGAAGGCTCTCCATCGCCTTTCTGAAGAAACTGGAGTTCAGATCATTGCTGGAGCAGGATTCTATGTGGCTGAGACCCACTCGTCTGAAACACGGAGTGCATCCGTGGAGAAGGTAACTGCATATAACAAGGGTAAATCAGTATCATAAGCAGAGAAGGATCCTCACAGTATCGCGATGGATACAATTCATTCCCCCACTTCTATCACCAATTGTAATTAATCTGAGAAAGAAAGCCGAGAACATTGGCGAGGTTTTATTGAGGAGTAGGGAGAGTTAAGGATAGTGACATTTGGATATTTATCAGCCGGACAGCAAACAGCTCTTTCTCCAGTGGATTGCTAATATCAACACACGCTGTCAATGAGGGTTTTAGTTTTTTTTTAGAGGGTTCTGTTTGACTGAGCCGGAGTAGCGGTTGTGGCAGACTCCAATTTCTTCATGCCCTCAGCCCTCATCAATGCTTTCATGACACCACTTGCTGCACTGATTCACTCAACTCAGATAACCAATAGCCAAGGCCTGCTGATCTCACAAGTCAGCACAAACCAGCTGTGAAAACCATTCCATTTTCCCCAGTAAAACCTACAGAAATGGATAATTTATTATCGGAAATTAGTTAAATCTTATCAAACAGGAATGTTCGGTCAAATTTCTCTATAATTAACAAAGGCCAAACGTTACCCAAAACACTACCTTATTGACCTCAGGATTCAAAGTACCTCTTCAGAATACTTGGCCTTCGATAAAATACCACATAACGGATTACTCAGAAACAAACACATTAAAGTGAAAGCGGTAGTTTGAGCATGTTATTGACGATAGAATCGGAAACAGAGGGTAGTGGTAAATGAATGTGACCTGAGAGAATTATCAGACCTGCATTCTCTTCCAGGGACTAGTGTTCAGACTTTTACTTTTCCAGTTATGGCTACGATGAAGCGATGCACTTTGCAACGAACAACATGGGGACGCAACATAATCTATTTGGTGCTATTTAAAGAAAGTTGCAAAAGTATAGGCATCTACCTTCTGGAAACATATCTTCACAAATCTTCGGAAATGGCAGAGCAAGTTGATAAATTCGTTCAGGGAGTAAATTGGATGTTTTTCTTAAAAATAGGGAGGTTGAAAACTAAAAGAAAGAAGCTGTGCTAAACATTTACTAAACAGTGTTTACATCACTGTTTAGGCCTCAGTTTGTGCATATGATATAATTCTGGTCACCAAACTTCAGAAGAGATATCAAAGGTTTGAAGAGAGTACCTAGGAATTTCACCTAGATCATACTAGGCATGATGGATGTTTACTAAGAGATAGTAGGAACTGCCGATGCTGGAGAATCTGAGATAACACGGTGTAGAGCTGGATGAACACAGCAGGCCAAGCAACGTCAGAGGAGC